TATGGATAATGACAAGCTATGGGCAACATTGTGGAGAATGAGTACTCTGGTACAGTTCATTGTGCTCATGAGGAACCTGTACATTGACCAATAGGCAGTTGTTTAAACAGAAAAAGGGATCACTGAATGGTTTAGAATTAGGAAAGGTGTGTGCCAGGGTTGTATTCTTTCACCATACTTGTTCAGTCTGTACGCTGAGCAAATAATTTGTGAAGATGGATTATATGAAGAACAACATGGCATCAGGACTGGAGAAAGACTTAGTAACAACCTGCGATATGCAGATGATACAATGTTGCTTGCTGAAAAGTGAAGAAGACTTAAAATACTGATGAAGATCAAAGACTACAACCTTCAGTATAGGCTGCACCTTAATGTAAAGAAAGCAAAAATCCTCACAATTGGACCAATAAATAATATCAAGATAAACGGAGAAAAGATTAAAGTTGTCAAAGACTTTATATTGCTAGGATCAACAATCAACACTCATGGAAGTAGAAGTCATGAAATTAAATGACGTACTGCATTAGACAAATCTGCTGCACAAGACCTCTTTAAAATGTTGAAAAGCAAAGATGCCAGTTGAAGGACTAAGGTACACCTGACCTAAGCCAAGGTATTTTCAATAACCTCGGATGCATGTGAAAGTTGGACAATGAATAAAGTAGACCATAAAGCATTGATGCAGGTGAGTTATGGTGTTGGAGAATATTAAAAGTACCATGGACTGCCAAAGTACCATGGACAAACAAATCTGTGTTGGAAGAATTACAGCCAGAATGTTCCTTAGAAGCCATGATGGACAGACGTTGTTTCTCATACTTTGGACACATTATTACGCGGGAACAATTCCTAGAGAATGACATTATGCTTGGTAAAGTGGTGGGTTAATGAAAAAGAGGGAGACCCCCCAACAAGATAAGACTGGCACAGTGGCAGCAGCAATGGGCTCAAGCGTAATAATGATTTTGAGGTTTGTGCCGGACTAGGCAGTGTTTAGTTCTCTTGTGCATAAGGTCAGTATGGACTTAACAGCACCTAACACCAGCCAAGCTCTCATCCATCTGCCAACTGCCCTCCTTTGTACATTGGGTTAGCAGGTGTTCTAACAGCTAGGCTATCCATTTTTCTTCTCTAATCTTAAGTACCAATTTGAAAGATGTTATGCCTTCCAACTCAATTTTTCATCTCTTTCTATCTCTCTCCTAACTCAATCTTTCATCTCTTTCTATCTCTCTTTTATAATTTTTCTTTTTGTTTTGTTTTTTTGTCTGTTACATTCAGATTCATTTTTTTAAATGTTTTATTACACATAAATTAAATTTGGAAATAAGCGTTCATTACAAATGGTTAATTTCAGGTTTGGAGCAGGAAATGAGTAAGAAACATTTTGTCAAACCAGAAAACAGGGAAGCATTCAAAGGTCACTTGGTGGTGATGGTTATGTGCCGAGGAGTAGGTGCCGATTCATAGCGTACAGCGTTTCCGAGGCTGTAAATCTTTATGGGAGCAAAAAGCCTCATCTTTCTCCCGTGGAACAGCTGGTAGTTTTGAACTGCTGTTCCTGAAGTTACCAGCCCGATTCATAACCACTACGCTACCAGAAAGATCACTTAGATGGAGAAAAAGGATTCAAGAGCCAAAATGAAACACCTCCTACTAGCCAAAGATGGGATTATTTGAGCATCAGTAGCAACGGCAATGAATTAAAGCACATACAATAGTCTATCAATTATTTAACCATCCAACTGTTAATATGAAAACATTTGAATTGTTTTCAATTTTTAGCGATTATGAATATATGGTATACATGTACACTGATGTTTCTATAGTCTATCCCTAGGCATGAAAATTGCTGGGTCATGAGATACAGGTATTATCAACATTACTATACAAAACCCAAACTGTTTCATGGGTGCTTAACCTACAGTTTCTTAAAAGTTCCCAGTCTAATGGCACAGGAGAATATCAACTTACTGTAAGTTTACCATTGTCTCCCCTCTGGAAACCACTCTGTTCATTGAAGTGCCATTAGGGAAGCTGCTGTAGTATTACAGTTGGATCCATGGCTAACAGTTTGGGTATTTTATTTTGAAATGAATGTTAGGAACTGCACTTTTGTTAGCTACTGAATATTTACACATAGTGAATTTTCTGGTGCCAACACGATACTAAAAAATACTGCTTGTTTAGAAAAAAAAAAACAAAAGACAGAAACTATCTATAAAATTTCCTTGTCCTTGGCTGGGCACTTCAATAATTAAATCAAAAAAAAAAAAAAAAAAAGACAGAAACTATCTATAAAATTTCCTTGTCCTTGGCTGGGCACTTCAATAATTAAATCAATGGACTTTATAATGTCTGTTAATATATCTGATAGGGTTATCACCTCTAGGTTACCAGTAAAGTATACAGGGTCAAATCTAACTACATAAACTGAGATTTCATCTCTTCCTAGAGAAGGCAATGCCAGTTGGTGATACAAATCTCAACAATTGTATCAATTACAGTTTAGGAAAACTAACAAACATCTACCTGAAAAAATAACTGAAACAAGAGATGGATCCTCTTGTGTGTCTTTACAAACAAATGTCATCCCCGATCCTTTATCCTTAACAACAATTGAATGTGATTCACTATATAATGAAATAATAAAAGTAAACTACCAGCTTAGTTAATATGGTAAGTAAATCAAAAAGAGTATTAGATAGTTCAGCAAAATGACGGATGTATGGATGTATGGATGTATGGATGGATGTATGGATGTATGGATGGATGGATGGATGAATGGTAGGAGGGAGGGAGCACATATGTCAAGATATTTACATTTGGTAAATCTACAGTGTTCTTTAAATGATTCTAGTAACTTTATAAAGATTTAAGATAAAAGAGAAAAATACCTAGAATATACTCTAAAACACTGACAGTCTATGGATTTCAAAATTACAAGCAATATTTTGAAACCACTATTAATCTGAATTTTCTGACAAGAGACATAACTGCTAACATAGTAAAACATCGTTAATAAACTGCGATTTTAAGCTTAAAAAACAAAACAAAGACAATTGGAGGCTACTTACGCTTCCACAGGAATCAGGTCCTCCATTGAAAAGGGAGCAAGCAATCCTTACGATTTCTGCCTCAATCTTACGAAGTCCTGGGAAGATATCTGGATGTAGTGGGTTACTCCATGCAAAATCCCCATATGCCTGCAAAGAAATGCGAGCACATCTGATGGAAAAAACACTGTAGTATGATGGAGACAGTCCTGCAGACACATTATTTTACCATGTGGAAAGGGAACAAGTATAGCTGAGGTTAAAAACACAGACTTTGACAACAAAGAGATCCAGTTTCAACTCTTAGTTTTACTGTCACTTCTAGCTCTGTGATCGTAGGTCAAATAACCTATTGGAGGTTATTTCCTCTTGACAGTACCGTAGCTACGTTATTGGGCTCGGTTGTTGTTAAGTGCCATCATATTGTTTCCAATTTACAACAACCCTGTATACAATTTCCGAGGAGCAGCTGGTGGGTTTGAACTGTTAACTTTGTCCAGTGCTATCTTACAGCACCTCACCAGGATTCCAGGGGTAAATGTAACAATATAATGCATTCAAAGAACTTGGTTGAGTGTTGTGGTGAAATGAGCCCCTTTATGTGGCTTTTTGCGTTGGGTCTTTGGTAAAACAGCTCAAGAGATTTCCTCTCTAAGCCCTGAGGAGTTAGTTACCTTTGCCCTAGTTCTCCACCCCAAAAGGTTTACTTTCCTTTGGTAGAATGATATTTCCTGAGCAAACTGTAAACAGCTTGATGGTATGATACTTTTTGTCTGACTCCAGGCTGCAACTTGCAGCCTATGACTGGCCTATTCCATGAACCTTGCAGGGATTGGTTAATACACTTAAGCAAATGAAGTGACTATTACACACTTCTGTGGCAAGAAGGGGCTGGTCAGTTTGTAGGCCTGATAGAAGGGCTATGCCTCAAAAGTGCCAGGAGTTTGCTTGTAATATTGTAATATATAGCCACCCCAGAGGTTTATAAACAGAAAAAAAAGAAGAAGAAGAAGAAGAAGAAGGGAAAAAGGAGAGCTAAGAAGAGGGAACCCCCTCAAAGATCTGTAACACGGGTCAAGGGCTGCAAACACACACTGAAGTCAGTGAGAAGTCCGAAGGGGGCCTGCGGCAGACACAGGGGGGATGGCAAAAACCTGCTGCTAAGAATACAGCTAAAAAGCTGAACATAACTGCCACACTAGCTGTGAGCTGGGTCAGTCTGCGGTGGAGAGGCTGAGGGCAGGGAGGCCAACAGCAGAGAGGCCGGTCCTCAGGGGGCTGAGAGGAATACTCAAATGCAACCCGTTTTGTAAGACAGAGCAGCAAACTTCAAAGATAAATTTGATTAGAAATAGAAGTGAAAGACAATGCTCAAACCAACAAAGCACGAAATTATTTGAATTACAAATGAGACTACTGGCTCATGATTTCGGTCGGTAATGGCCAGGCTCCCCATGCTGTATCTCTTCTTATCACACAGATTCTGCCTCACTAGTAATCAGCTCAAATGATGACATTACCTCCCTTAGTAACCTGTCCTCTATGCAGGTTATTAGAGACATCTAATGTCTACAAGCATGAGTGACATTTATTTTACTTTCTTACAGACTGATGATGTCTTAGACAACTTATGCATCTGCCTATGTTTGGGTGAAGAGGAACTTAAACTTTCTAAAGTTCTGTAGTTTCATTTTAACAGTAATTTTCCCTTAAGTAATTGGTTTTCATTACTAAAGTAAAGGGGAACGAGGCCATGTAAACTAGCAAAGGTGTCCTGGAGTGACGCTGTGGGTTCATGCGCTGGACTGCAAAGTCGGTTTGAACCGCAAGGCTGGCAGTTCAAGCTCATCAGTCGCTCCTCAGAAACCCTATTACCAGGTAGCTATGGGCCGGAACTGACTTGACAGCACTTCACAACAACAAACAAACCAGCAAAGACCAAACAACTCCAGGACGAGGCCACTGCAGCCAGTACGGACACTCACCTTCACCAGGAGCTCGGTGAGCTGATCCTCCCCGTGGTACACTGTTCCCGAGGCTCGGCCCTGCTGCCAGTAGACATCTGTGGAAGACAGCAAGGCCACCAGGTCAGTATGCAGGAACCTTTGGGAAGACTACAAGGTTCCACTAGGAAACTATTAAGAAATAAGCCCTCTGGGTACAAAAAGGGGGAAAATGTGTGAATGCAAACCCAATGGCACTCTTCATTATATCAAGTAAGGAAAAAATTTCAAAAAAGTGCTTCACAGCAAAATAAATTATAACCACCAATTATTGTCAGCAACAGTGCAGAAGATATTAACAACATCTCGGATTCCTGGTACAGCGCTGTAGGATCCGCATTGGACTGCTAACCACAAGGTTGGCAGTTCAAACCCACCAGCAACTCCTCGGAAACCCTACACAGTTGGCAATGACTCAATGGCACTAACAACAAGGTACAATAAAGGACCCCTGGTGGTGCAGAGGGTTAGGCACTGGGTTGGGAACCACAAGGTCTCTGGTAAAGACTGACAGCCTCGGAAACCCTAAGGAGCAGTTCTACGTTGTCCCAAAGTGTTGCTACGAGTCGGAAGTAGCTGGAAAGCAGTGGGTACAGGTACAATACCGAGCTGTCTTCATTCATCCCCAACTACCTTCTGTCAGCAAGAATGTTTTCCTCTGTCCCCGTGTATTTTCTACAAAGCTTTACTTAGACCTTCTCCTTCCCTCCTTTTCTATCCATTCATAGTGTGGGGGCTGTTACAAGGAGAATTGACAGGGAAGAGGTAAGCCAAGAGTACATTTCAGTACATTCTCATCAGAGAACAGAATCCAGGACAGGACAAACCACACTAGAGATAACCATCAGCACTCTGGTCGTAGCACCCTCCTCCCTTTAGACAAGCCTGGAACACACACCAGAATTAGCCATCTGCTTCCAACACTCTAGGGTCTTCACATGGCACAAACAGGTAAGCCCTTGGCTAGTAACTGAAAGGTTGTCAGTTCAAACCTTCCCAGAGGTCACTAAAAATCTGCAATGGACTTAACGATAGATCAGACACTGTGAAGTCACTAACTCAGTGCCACCCATGGCAACAAGTTTTCTATTTTGGCTTTGTTATTGTTGCTACTTGCCAGTGCTTAAGATCATGAATAAAGTCAAACTTTCCACCTCCTGCCCAAGGTGCTCCCTCAAGACTTACTACTTTATACCAACAAACCTGTTGATATGGGTGTCTTCATCCTTATGCTATACCATGGCTATTAAAAACGGGTAATGAGAAAGCTACTACAGACACAGTGGGAACTGCACATAGCCAGACTGTACAGAGCAAAGACCTTCAGTTCTAACAAGACCACCGGTGACCAAATGGGAAACCTACAAGCACATTCCTTGTTCCCACTGAAATCTGCCAAGCTCTGGCTTGTGGCCACTTGACTCACACTCTTTTCTTACAGGACACCACTCTATACCAAGCACACCTTGAACCAGGGGCTACCAACCTTCCACAAAGGATGAAACCAAGGCTGTTGGGTAGATTCCGACTCATGGCGACCCTAAAGAACTGCCCCACACACAGGGTTTCCAAGGCTGTAAAGCTTGACAGAAGCAAACTGCCTTATCTTTCTTCCATGGAAGCAGCTGATGAGTTCTAACCCCGAATTTCTCAGTTAGCAGCCCAATGTTTAACCCACAAACAGGATACGTGATTTCATTTCTTGTTGTTTATTAATGCAACACACTGTAGCAGTGGGCAGTGACTTAAATGTTAAAGGGAAAGAAATATGGTGGGGTGGGTACAACCAGCCCTCATAACCATGGAACTCTAGTATATGGGCCTTACGATGATACCCCAGGTTTGTATCATGAATATCTATACTCTAGACTAGATCTGATTTTATACCACCTAAAACGTGCTCTGGTAGCGTAGTGGTTATGAATCAGGCTGCTAACCTCAGGGTCAGTAGTTCGAAACTACCAGCAGTTCCGTGGGAGAAAGATGAGGTTTTCTGCTCCCATAAAGATTCACAGCCTCGGAAACCCTGTACAGGGTCATTGTGAGTTGGAACCGACCCCACAGCACATCACCACCACAAAAACATGCCAAGACTCCTGGTGTGGCACTGTAAGATCAGCATTAGACTGCGAACCACAAGGTCAGCAGTTCAAACCTACCAGCTGCTCCTCAAAAACCCTACACAGGATAGTTATGGGTTCGGGAATCAACTCAATAGCACTTAACGACAACAAAACATTCCAACTAGAAATTTCATGGGAAAAGCGATACTGGTGGAGAACTGGGGTAATGCAAGCTGAATTTATAGCCAATAATATTTATACTAGAGTCCTGGTGTGACACTGTGGGCTAATGCATCAGACTGCAAAGTTGTTTGAACTGCAAGGTCGGTGGTTCAAGCTCACCAGTTGCTCCTTGGAAACCCAATACAGGGTTGCTATGGGTTGGAATCGACTCAATAGCACTTAACAACAACAACAACATTTGTACTGGAGCCATGCTAGTGTAGTGGGTTACAGGTTGGGCTGTTAACTGCATGGTCGGTGGTTTGAATCCACCAGCAGTCTTTCTGCTCCCATTAAGATTTATAGCCTCAGAAACCCTATACAGAGTTACTATGAGTCAGAGCCAACTCTAAAGCACACAACAGTATTGTACCAATATTAATTTATTAGTTTTGACAAATGTACCTATATTATATGAGTGAGCTTTAAAAAGTTCATGGAGAATTAGAAATAAAAGATAATGGGAAAAAAAAAAGGAATTTTCCCACAAACTTTCTGATGCCCTTCAAATAACGAAGTTACAACACGGGAGCTAAATGAGGAGCATGAGAACGCTCTGTAACACCTCTGCAACTTCTTCATAAAACTAAAGAGCTTATTTTTGAAAAGTATTTTAAATGTGATCTTACTTTGTAATAAACGTGTGTGTGTTTGGGTGAATAACAGTAAAAATGATTCTTGTTACTGTTGTTGTTAGTGTCATCAAGTTGGTTCCGACTCACAGAGACCGTGTTTAGGTTCTGCAAGGTTTTTTAAATCTTCACGGGAGCAGAAAGTCTCATCTTTCTCCCGTGGAGTGGCTGTCAGGCTTGAATCATGGATTTTGTGGTTCGCAGTGCAGTGCTTATCCTATGGAGCCACTGCACTCCCAGTTATAATCATTGTTAATATTTATAGAGTACTTATTAAATGGCAGGCACTGTAAGACATTACACGTATAATTACATAGTATCTTTTCTAATCAGTACTATTATTATTATTATCCCTATTGTAGGGGCAGAGATAATGAGACACAGAGAAGTTATGAACCTTACCCAAGGTCATACTTTAAAGTGGTAGAAACAGGAAGTGAATCCAGGCTGATTTCATGGGCTGTACTTTAAATCATTATGCTATGTGGCCTATTGACCCCTCCCATATGTATTCACACTCATAACATAGGTATTCACACTCATAATATTCTGGCATATATGAGGGTAGGACAAAGAGTATTGTTACTAGGGTTCTACTTCATACATATGCCAGTCTCTTCCAAACAAAACATGTTTAAACATGTCTCAGAGATCATCAGTGGATGGCTATAAACAAGCTCCCTCAGTCATAAATTTAGTCTCATCAGGGTGCCTTTAAAAAACCGTCTAATCAAAACAGAGGCTTCTGAGGGGGTCTGCTGGGCAGAGAAGAGTCAGCTCAGAAGGTTAGGGTTGTTTTTTGTTGTTGCCAAGTGCTGTCCAGTCAGTTCTGACTCAGCAATCTTCTGTATGGTTTCCAAGGAGCGGCTGGTGGGTGTGAACTGTCGCCCTTATGGTTAACAATCTGGTGTTTGTCCTATGGCACCACATCAGGACTCCCAGAAGGTTATGGTGACTGCTTTCGGGGGGCTCCAAAGCGGTGAAGATGGCACATAACCGGGCAGTGTTTCGTTTTGTTGTACAGAGGGCTGCTATGAGTCTGAACCAACTTGACACCTAACAACAACAATCTCGACAGATTTTCTCGAAGGACACAGGATGACCACAGAGGCTTATTAGGAAGAAGTTTTAAGAAAACAGAATACTGCGTTGGTGAGGAAAAGTCCAGGAAAGTAGCATCAAGGAATTTTACCCCATCACAACTATGCCAGCCTTGATCTTGCCCCTTCAGACTTCTTTTTGTTCCCCAAACTCAAACATTGAAAAGAAACACAATTTTGAGTCCCTCAAGGATGCCAACAGCTGTTTTGACGTTTTCGTCACTGAAGAGCGCAGAGTTCTTCAGGGACAGGTCAGAGAAAGGAAATCGATGCCTAGATGGATGGTGTGTTGAGTAACAATCACGTCACGCTTCAATATTTTTGTGTAGCAGTCTTCTATGGCTTTTAAGCAATATTTTTTACTTACCCTCACATCTATTGTCTGTTTCTTTTGATGATGGAACAATGTTGTTGGTAAGTGCCATCGAGTCAGTTCTGACTCATACTGACCCTGTAAAGGGTTCTGAGGAGCAGCCTTGCAGTCTAGTACTTATCCTACAGCGCCACACCAGGACTCGAATGGGACTATTGTTGTTAAGTGCCGTCAAGTTGATTCCGACCCATAGCGACCCTGTATAGGGTTTCCGAGGCACATCTGGTGAGCTTGAACCGCTGACCTTGCAGTTCAAACAGCTTTGCAGTCTGGTGCATTAACCCTAACTATAGTGACTTTTTATTTTCTTTAAAACATTTACTGATGAAGATCAAAGAGCACAGCCTTCAGTATGGATTACATCTTAATGTAAAGAAACAAAAATCCTCACCACTGGACCAATAAACAACATTCTTATCAATGGAGAAAAGATCGAAGTTGTCAAGGACTTCATTCTTCTTGGATAAACTATCAGCACTCAAAGAAGCAGGAGTCGAGAAATCAAACGACATTTTCATTGGGCAAATCTGCAGCACAAGACCTTATTAAAATGTTGAAGAGCAAAGATGTCAACTTTGGTTGGACTAAGGTACGCCTGACCCAAGCCATGGTATTTTCAATAACCTCATATGGATGTGACAGTGAATAAGGAAGACCATAGAAGAATTAATGCTTCTGAGTTATGGTGTTGGAGGAGAATATTGAAAGTGCCATGGGCTGCCAAAAGAACGAACAGATCTATGTTAGAAGAAGTACGACCAGAGTGCTCCTTGGAGGCCAAGATGGCCAAACTTCATCTCTCATACTTCGGACATATTGTTAGGAGGGACCAGTCACTAGAGAAGGATATCATGTTCGGTAAGGTGGTGGGATTGGATTGGCCAAGTGGCAGCATCAATGGACTCAAGCGTGGCAACAGTAGTGAGGTTGGCCCAGAATCGGGCAGTGTTTTGTTCTGCTGTGTATAAGGTCGCTATGGGTCGGTACCGACTCGATGGCACCTAACAACAACATGTTCACTTTTTAAGAACATAAATGCATGTTTTATTCAAGCTTACAAAAGAAAATGGCACTGAATGCCACTATCTGTGAGATTTGCATGTTGTATGGGTAAGGATGAATTTAAAGTACGAAATGCAGCCTTTAAAACAAAGTGTCGCCCTTGAACATGTGAGTCCCAGGGGTAAGCCACTCTTAACTGATGCAGACATGAAATGATGTTTCACATACCCATTGAGCTGTACTCTTTAAGCTTCTCCAGAACGGCAGACGAGCTCAGGCCCTGGGCGGGCAGAACCTTCACATACTCCTTGCCCACTTTCAGGAATGACATGTTCTTACTAATATCATCCTTGGTCTTGTTCAGTTTTTCTTGGATCTGGTAAAGGTAAGAATGGCAAAGTTAGCACGGAGATGGACGAGTACAGTATGCTGGGGAGAACCATCACGTGTTCGACACCCGGCACAGCACAGTAGCCGCAGCACTAAGAGGATTATTTATTTAAACTTCAACTTCTTCTTGTGTATTGGGTGAAGGTTTACAGAGCAGGTGATCAGTCTCACCTTCGATAATTCAAACATCTCACTGATGAAGATCCTCACGATGTAACATCACGAAGTCCACTTCCTCTCTGTGTTTCCCGTTTCCACTCTTCCTTTCCTAACCCTTCTGAACTTTCGTTTTGGTCATTGCTGCCCTTTTGATCTCAAATGGTTGATTACTCTAAAGGTGTGTCTACGTCCCTAGTCTGTTGTTCGGAAAACTGAGCCATGTGGGTGAGTCCAGTTCCAGACCTGAAGGGTGACTGGGGGTCATAGTTTCAGGAGTGCTACCAGTCTCTAGTCAACCAGTCAGCCTGGTCTTTTTTTTATGATTCTGAGCTTTGTTCCACATTTTTCTCCCATTCTCTCCAGGACCTTTTAATGTGATCCCTTTCGGAGAAGTTGGCAGTGGTAGCCAGGCACCCATCTAGTTCTTTTGCTGTCAGGGTCATGGACACTGATGGTCATGTGGTCACTAGCTCACTAGACAAGCTGTTTCCATGTATCTTCAGTTTTCATCTGTCTTCTTTCCTCCAGACAGGGAGGACTTTAGATGGCTGCTCATGAGCTTTAAAAGCCCAGCTGCCACTCACCAAAGCAGGCCTGTGTTATGTCAACTGACACTATTGTTCCCTGAGACTATGGTCCTGAGCCCCCAGGTCTACCACTCACCTCCTCAAGGTGTTTGGGAATCTCTAGGAAGTTCCCATAACTTTATCCCCTGTATGCTCCCGCACATTCACAGAAGCGTTTCAGAGCACAGGATTTTAAATATCCATCGCAAACAACAGGAGCTTGGGTAGTGTAGTGGTTACAAGTTGGGCTTCTAACCTTAAGGTCAGCAGTTCAAAACTACCAGCCATTCCATGGGAGAAAGATGAGGTTTTCTGCTCCTGGAAAGATTTACACCCTCAGATGCCCTCTGCAGGTTCACTATGAGTTGGAACTGACCCCACAGCACACCACCACCACCCTAAGAGGGTGCTCGTTCACAGACAGCCGTAGTGACATTTTCTGGAAGGTGCAAAGGCCTCTTATTGTTGTTGAGTGCCATGGAGTCAGTTCCAACTCATAGCAACCTTGTATAGGGCTTTTGAGGAGTGGCTGGTGAGTGTGCAACTGCTGATCTTGCGGGGGTCCAGAGCTTAATCCTACAGCATCACCCCAGGACTCCTAGAAATCTGAAAAGCCAACTTCCTCTTCAACTGTCAAAGATGCACTCAACACACCCCCAACACGACATCACCACTGTGTCTCTGGGTTTGCATTTTCTGGAGTCAGCACTTCTTGGAGGGCAATATTTGGACCTTGCTCCTGCCCTGGCAGCAGTTCCAGCATGCTAAAGGAACAGAAGGTGAGCCATCAGTGAGAGTCAGCAAAAAGGCCAAGCGCCATCATCTCGTGCAGATGACGGACTCCTTCAATGCCAGGAACTCAGAGGCCCGACACAACTCCCTACAAACAAATACAAGACATATTAGAACTGCCAGGAAGACTGTATTATAGCTCAAGTTGCACTTTGCTACTAAAACGCTTGGAGGAACCAAGGTTCTTTCTGCTCTGGGATGGACCACTTATGGTTATTTATTCTCTATATTCAGAGCCACAGCGTCTGAGGCATCTTCTTTGCTGAGTGACTACAGGAATGTACTGCACAGCATCCATTCACACAACATCGGACCGCATATACGTTCGTGGGGTAGGGAGGAAGAACACGCCTGGAAGGGCGCTAGGCTGGCATCAATCCTGTCGCCTCCATCCCAGCGACAGCTGACACAGCTCCTACAGCTACTGTTGGCACATGTCCTGCCCAACCACCCTGCAGGTGTCTGCCTGTGAGACGTTGGGCTGCACCTGCTCCACTCAGTCTCTCAGGGGTTCCAGGTGCAACCAGGCCTCTCATTGCCGCTTAGAGAGCTCCAGGTACTAACTAAGCCAGGGCAGCGTAATACATGTGTACCGCGAAACACAAACACAGAGACTATATAATATGGTGTTTGCATAACTTCCCATTTCACAGAATACAGTCCTGGTGTGGTGCAACAGGATAATGCACTGGACTGCAAGGTCAGTTTGAGCTGCAAGGTCGGCAGTTCAAACCCATCAGCTGCTCCTCATAAACTCTATACAGAGTCACAATAAGTTGGAACCGACTTGGTTCCATTTAACAACAACAATAATAATGGATATTAAACAAGACATACCTATACTAAGGGGAGTATGGTGGCTCTGTAGGATAAGCACTGGACTATGAACCACAAGGTTGGTGGTTTCAGCCGGCCATCTGCTCCATGGGGAAAAGATGAGGTTTTCTGCTCCCACAAAGATTTATAGCCTCAGAAACCATATAAAGGATCACTATGAGTTGGGACCAACTTGCCAGCACTCAACAACAACAACCTGTACTAAGGAGCAGGAATACAGTGACCAATACCAACAGAAACTTATCCTCATAAAGCGTATTTTTACCAAGGGACAGAAAATAAAGTGTCAAAACTGAAAAGCCCTGAGGATAAAATAAGTGAGCCGGGTACGAGAGCAGCAAGGCCGCATACCCTCAGACGTATGAGGGGGAGGTTTGGAGTTCAGCTCCATGTTACCGTTATGTCTGTTACAATGACAGGCTTCCAGCAAGATATTTATTAAAATATTATTTATGATGCCCAAGATCTTACTCCTCTCCTCGCCCTGGATGATTAGATTATAAGAAAATCATGTTAGCTCTGGTGTTCAGTGAAGCCAGAGGGACAGCTACCCTTAAAAACCTCTGTCATAGTCCACAGGTAGGATGGCAGCAACACCTGGGCACACTGGACAAGACGGTATTTTCCAACTTGTGAATAAAGGATTAGGCTGTATAAACAGCAACCAAACAGCAGGAACAAATTATGAAAGCTGGGCTTCCATGCCTAGACCATGCTGCTGCAAAAACCAAATAACAAACAAGCATTCCACTTCTCCAGTGCCAATCCTTGCCTGAGTCTCAACCACATTGCCCAATTCTAGTTTCCAAACAGCTATGATTTCAAAATGAAATCCTATATATTGTGCTGACTTATGTTCTGTCTTTCCTACTAAAAGCATGTGCTATGAGAAGAACTCGGTGTTGTTCACCACCATATCCCCAAGTGCACAGATAGTACCTGACACTGTACAATAAATGTGTTGTGTAAATAAGTGTGAGTAAATAGGAAAAACACACACATCAAATGACTATTGTCTTTGAGCCTCCAAATCTGCTTATGCAAAATGAAGTGATTAGATCTCTCCAGGGACCTGGTAATTCTGTTACTTTATAAATTTAGAAATGGGTTCTGGAAGCTTAGCATTTATTTGTCCCAAAATCTGGGAACTGAAAAAGACAAGTGAGAGGGATGAGGACAGAAAGTCGGGACATAATGACAAATCTTAGCATCTCTGAGACACTGTTGTTGTTGTTAAGTGTCATCGAGTTGTAGTCCATCTTCTATAACGCCCTCCCTTACCTCATGCCGAACCCTAGATATTAAAGGAGATTTACTTCTAGAATTTACTACGGTTGGGGAAGCAAATAAAAGCCTATACCCTCCCACCCCCCTCTCCACCCGGTTATTGCTTCTACTTTTCCGTGGATCCTGGATCAGAATGTTAGCACAGTGGTCTGAATGGATTTGAGGCAAAGGCTAAAGATAGTTGCCAGCTCTCCGGGTCTGGCCAAGAAAGGGCATTAGAAGCCTGAAACGACAGCAAGCCTGAAGGTAGGGACAAATGAGATTGGGAGGCATGCAGGGTAAGGGGGAAAGGCAGACATCAAGGACTCCTGTGTCTAATTCAGAGTTTGCAAAGGCCTTTCCCTGTTTATCTTCATCTGTCATAAAGACCAGAGGGTGCAAAGGTGAATATCTTATCCTCAGGTGTGGGTGGAAGGCAGAGGGGATCCAATAAAGGGTACTTTACCACAGACAGGTACAAAGAGCAAGAAACTAGCTCTGTTTTCTCGGTAAATCCCTAAACCTGGGATCAGCAAATGATAGCCCAGGGGCCAAACCTGGTGAAGCATCCTGAGAACACTGGGTTTAGTGAATAGAAGGAAGAAAAGTATGATCTTCAAGGGGAAATAAAAGGATCTACACATATTCACTCACCTTGCGGCCGATGAAGGGCATCTTTCTGATGAGCTTAAAGCACTTCTTTTTAAACCTTGACCATAAGCCTAAAAGAAACAAATGGGTCTATCAGTCAAATAAATTTCCATGAATATGACCAACTAATCATAATATGCAACCTAATTAGTGTGTCCCCTACAACCTCACTGGCCTTCAAAATACAAAGGGAGAGTTTCTTTTCTTAAAAAAAAAAATATATATATATATATATAAGCACTGGACTTCAAACCACAAAGTCAGAGGTTCAAGCCCACTGCAGAATAAAAATAAGACTTTCTGCTCCCTCAAAGTTATACAGCCTTGGAAACCCAATATAAGGACCACTGTGACTCAAAACTGACTCAATGGCACTTAACAACTACATATGTTTTTGGTGCTATAGGATAAACACTTGACTGCTAACAGCAAAGTGGCAGTTCAAACCTACCAGCTGCTTCTTGGAAACGCTATACAAGGTCACTAAGAGTCATAACCACCACTCATCTGTCAGTTTGTTGTACTGTGGTGGCTTGTGAGTTGCTGTGATTCTGAAAGCTATGCCACCGGTATTTTAAATACCAGTAGGGTCACGCATGGTAGACAGGTTTCAGATGAACTTCCAGACGAAGACAGACTAGGAAGAGTGATGAACTACTTCCGAATATTAAGTCACTGAAAACCTTATGAATGAATAGCAGACAAATACTGTCAGATATAGTGCCGGAAAATGAGCCCCTCAGGTTAGAAGGCACTCAAAATGCGACTGTGGAAGAGCTGCCTCCTCAAAGTAGAGCTGACCATGATGACACGAATGGAGTAAAGCCCATGGGAGAAAAGCCCGCGGGACCTTCATTTGCTGATGGGGCACAACTCAAAATGAAGAGAAACAACTGTAAACACCCACTGAAAATAGGAACATGTAATATATGAAGTATGAATCTGGGAAAATTGGAAGTTGTAGAAAATGAAATGGAATGCATAAACATCGATATCTCAGACATTAGTGAGCTGAAATGGTATTGCCATTTTGATTCTGACAACCACATGGTTTACTAAGCTGAGAATGACAAATTGAAGACGAATGGTGTTGCATTCATTGTCAAAAAGAACATATCCAGATCAGTCATAAGGTACAACGCTGTCTGTGATAGGATAATATTCATGCACCTACAGGGAAGCCCAGCTAATACCACTATTATTCAAATTTACGCACCAACCACTAAAGCCAGTGAGGATAAAATAGAAGAATTCTATGAACGTCTTCAATCTGAAATCGATCAAACATGCAATCAAGATGCATTGATCATTACTGGTGATTGGAATGCAAAGGCTGGGAACAAAGAGGAAGGATCAGTAATTGGAAAATATGGCCTTGGTGACAGAAATGATGCTGGAGAACGAATGACAGAATTCTGCAAAACCAATGATTTGTTCATTTCAAACACCTTCTTTAAACAGCATAAAAGGCAACTATACACAAGGACCTCACCAAATGCAATACACAGAAATCAAATTGACTACATCTGCAGAAAGAGACGATGGAAAAGCTCCATATCATCAGCGAAAACAAGGTCAGGGGCAGACTGTGGAATAGACCATCAATTACTCATATGCAAATTCAACTTGAAGCTGAAGAAAATGAAAACAAGTCCATGAGAGCCAAAATACGACCTTGAATATATCCCACCTGAATTCAGAGATCATCTGAAGAACAGATTTGATACATTAACACTAAAGACCGAAGACCAGAAGAGTTCTGGGATGACATCAAGAACATCAGACACGAAGAAATCAAAAAGTGATTTAGAAGACAAGAAATAAGGAAAAGGTCAAAATGGATGTCAGAAGATACTCTGAAACTTGCTCTCCAGCATAGAGATGCTAAAGCAAATGGAAGAAATGAGGAGGTCCAAGAACTGAACAGAAAATTTCAAAGATCAGCTCGAGAAGATACAACAAAATGTGCAAAGATCTGGAGTCAGAAAACCAAAAAGGAAGAACATGCTCAGCATTTGTCAAGCTGGGAAGAAAAAATTCAAGCCTCACTTTCGTTATTGAAAGATTCTCTGGGCAAATTATTAAATGATGCAGAAAGCATCAAGAGAAGATGGAAGGAATACACACAGAGTCACTGTACCAAAAGGAAATGGTTAATGTTCAACAGTTTCAAGAGGTAGCATATGATCAAGAAACAATGATACTGAAGGAGGAAGTCCAAAGTGCACTGAAGGAATTGGCAAAGAACAAGGCACCAGGAATTGATGGAATAAAAATTGAAATCTTTCAAGGAAGTGAAGCGGCACAGGAGGCACTCACTCATCTCTGCCAAGAAATTTGGAAGACAACTATCTGGCCGACTGATT